AACATCTGGACTGTTCAGCAGCAAGTTGGTCGCGCACAGATTGGAGTTCCTGTAAAATTATGTTTGCTTTGTAATCAAAATAATCACAATGGTCTGAACAAACAATTTTTGTTTAGGAAAAAAAATGACATTTGCAGTTACTATATATAGCCCCCGTTTGTTGCAACCACCGCCTTTCACAAAGGAAAATACAGCCACCGCCTTTCACCGCCTACATGTTTGACCAAATCTTTATTTTCAATTTAATTTTCCCCCAGAGAAGAGGGATCGCCGCCTACATTTTTTGTTTCTTATGAAGGAGGTATGCCTACATTTGTTGACTTCTGAGGGATGTATGGAAGAGGGATAAAATGGGAATATGAAATACGTCCTGAATGAATAGTAAACTAAGGATTCCCTCTTTTAATAGAAGAGGGATAGTGAAAATAATTTTAGTGAACACACTACAAAAGATTTATGTCAAAAATTGTAAGGCACATAAGTAAGTTGAGACTCCAAAATTTGCCGGTTCTATCACCGTGAAGCTCATCCGTCCTCTTTTCACTCGCTTTTTTGTCTCTCTCGAAAAAGTTGTCGGTGATTACCGTTACACGGGAGTTTTATTCATACGTATTAGTTTATATTTTATTTTATCCACTTGGTTTAAATCTTGTGTTTTTCTTTTTATTGCAAGGGTAAACAACATTTTGTTTAGAAAAGCAGGAAAGCATGGTCAAATTATAAGGTATTTTATTCATTTCTTTGGCTTTAAGCATTTATTCTCTAGAACAATTCCTTCGTACGACTTATTCAGGGCATGTTTGTTTCGAATTAAAATCAAATTTTAATCTAAATTAAAGTCAAATAATTAATATTAGCCACATCTTTCATGGGTCCCACAATTTTTCAACCACACATTTCAAAAACTTTTATCACAATCTACTAAAAATTTAATTTTAATCATCACCAAACACCCACTTAATCATAATTAGAGGGTGCTTGGTGAAGATTAAAATTAAATTTTTAATAAATTTTGATAGAAATTTTTGAAATGTGTAGTTAAAAAGTTGTGGGATCCAAGAAAAATGTGGTTAATATTGATTGTTTGACTTTGACTTAAATTAAAATCAGATTTTAATTCGGACCAAACATGAGCTTATAAAAAAAGTACTTTGAAAGAACTATTAGTTGTATTATGACCTATATTTAGCATGGCTTCTACCTCTACATCTTCTACTTGTAAAAGCTCCTCCTCCTTGAACCACCACCTTCAAAGACAACATACTCCAGGAAATTATTCAAACATGTCCAAAAATAGTTTCTCAGTTTCAAAAATAACTTGACTTTTCAAAAGCTTTACCAAACCGACCCTTAATGTTCAATTCAACATGTCGACCTAATCTGTTGGTATTGCCTTACAATTCACAGCTCCTGCCATTCCCAAGAGGGCTACCGAAGGTAGCATAATAATTTGTAAAGGCACTATAATTTGGGCGAAATTATAAAGAAATATTGACAGCACTACAAAAGCTCCTATAATCTAGAGCAAAATGATGAGCAAAACTCAAATCTTATATCATTTACTTGAATTTCTCTCTACAATAGCCAACCATATATCTGAAAATTAACAAAAAGAACAAATTAATTTAAGATACTATAAACAATTTAATGAACGTGATACAAAAGATACATAATTCTCAGCCACGTTAACAAGTTATACTCCAAAATTGCTGCCTCTGTCGTCATGAAGCTTGACTGTCCTCATCATCCCACTTGCTCTTCGGTATCTCCCCAGAATCGGCAATAATTACCTTTTTTCTAGGCTTCCCACTGTAGGTTCCAGCTCCGCCCTCGATGACATACACAGTATCCATGCCTTCAATGACTTTACCAAAAACAACATGCTCACCGTCCAGCCTGTGCAATTATCTTAGTAGTGAGAAGAAGTTGGGGAGAGCATAGTGGACTAAGTTTAGAAGTTCCTTTTGTCAATAGTACGAATTACTGCAAACTTGAAGCTTACCAGCTGGTTTTAACCGTGGTAATAAAAAACTGTGAACCGTTGGAATCAGGTCCTGAATTCACCATGGAAACAACACCTGCAACAATTACATGTAGCAAAATATGAAAGAGGGAGACAGAGAGGTAGTCGTACAACTTCAGTTATAAACAAGTCCATCACATGAACCAAGACAAAAGAGATTGGTTACAGAAGATCATTGCAGACCCGGATGAGAATGCTTCAGCTTGAAATTCTCATCATGAAAGGTGCCTCCATATATAGACTGATTTCCTCTCCCGAGTCTATAGGCAATATCTCCACCTTGTATCATGAATCCAGGAATAATACGATGAAATGGAGTTCCCTTGTAATGGAGAACTACTCCATTAGCATCCTTTCCCATCTCCCCTGATTCCAGAAAAAAACAAATTATGTGAAGAAGGTTAAAGATAAAAAAAAAAGCAGTCTGCATGTCTCAATGGACTAATACAATTATGTTGTACACAATAAATACCTGTACACAAAGCCCTGAAATTCTCTGCAAATAAGACAGCCAATAATAAGCTAAATTTGGTAAACGGAATAAAAAATTAGCTAACTCTTTTTACTGAGCATGAAGTGTTTTTAGAAGAAGTCGAAAGACTTACCCACTGTCTTTGGTACGACTTGACCATATAAACCAATGGTGATTCTTCCTGTAGGCATTCCACTCAGGGGTAAGATTAAAAACTTGAATGTGTGAATGAAACCTAAACTACATAAACAATATAAGTCCAGAAAATTTCTTATTTATTATGTGATGCCAAGTAATTTTTCTAATCTTCATATTTCACGTGAAAGATGATATGAAATGGTTACAGTGCGTGTAGTCAAAAGAATTTTTCGCCGTGGACTTAGCAGCAAATAATCCACTCACTAATAGATAAAGCAAATATTATAGGACATAGTATGGAGATGTCACAACTCACAAGAACGTAGGCTTCAGCGAAACTGTTCTACAAACGATTCAACCCATGATGATACTGACAGTCTATAATTCTAGTCCCATATGATAAGCGGGGAGTTTTTCCTGCCTGGTTCACGTAAGTCCTGCTAGATTCTTTTCTATAAATAAAACACTTCATTAAAATACCACTGACCTTACATGGATATCCAACTCCTCGTATTAGAAGGAAAGGAGATTTTTTTTTTGTATGTTTTCCTCTGTTCCATTAATTTACTTCTCTGGTCTTTTGATGCAGCCATTCTTTAGGATGTTTGACATGAGTTAAGAGATCATGAATTTGAAAGTAAAGAATAAAAAAATCCATATTTTGCACTCTCTAATATCCTAGGCAGTGGTAACGGAGCTTATTAGATAAAAGTACCTACTCTATTTTATATAATTTGAAGTCACTCAAGCTAAAATCTAGAACTTCCCGAGGAAAAATGTAGAATACTAGTAAAATAAAGAATCATCATCACAATACCACTGTCCTTCTGTGGGCAAATGAATTGACCAGCCCCTAAAACATAACTTAGGCAATGAGACAGGAAGCAGAACATGATTTGCTTCAGTGAATGCAAGTTCGGTCAACATAAAACCATTGATGTGCAAATATGGACCAGAGAACCCTCCAATGATATTGAAAATTAAACCAACAGTTGAAGATATACAGATTATATCCTGACATCCCTTACTCATTCTACTGAGCTCAGTGACTAGAAATTTAGCTTTTCAAGACTTTTTAACAGACTAGTTAGAGTTAAACATGCGTTGCACGTTATTTTGAAATACTATACAAGTGTTGTGAAAGCATTATTTGACCCTCCATTTACTATTTTGATTTAAATATGAGAGAAATGAAAGCACCTGAAAATAAATGTTAATTACAATACATCCACATAAATAGTGAAATGCTTACTTGAATGTAAGTATTAGAATTACAACGAAATGCATAAATGAAAATGAATGGCAAATATGGTACACGAATTAACGTGAATGTTAATTAATTTAGAATTGATACCAAAGAATATGAAAATGAATGTTAAATCATTTATACTAAATGAATATAATTTAATTTCTAATTATGTGAAACTGAATGCTAATTAACATACATGGACATGAATAATAATCTACACTCTTGAATGTAAAATTCTAATTAATATTAATTAAATAAACGTGAATATTAATATTAATTAATTGAGAATTAATAATAGGAAAATTGACGTGAATGTGAAATTCTAATTAATATTAATTAAATGAATGTAAATGTTAATTAATTAAGAATTGATAACGGGGAATACATGCAAGAACAAAGATTTTGTAGTACTTATTACAGTTTGTAAATTAAATACATATTGGAAAACGAAAAAATAAGTATTGTTGAAATAATTTAATTAGAGTAGGGCTATAATCGTCCAAAAAACGATTCTCACTTGATGTGATATTGAATGTGAAATTCTAATTGATATTAATTAAATGATT